CAGAACTCTATCTAGTTCGTCTGTCATTTCTACGGTGCCAGTACGTGAAAGTAACAGCATCAACCCAACATTAGCGGGTCACAGAGCCATCCCGCCACAACGCAAAATGAAGAGGTACAATATATCCGATAGAAGATAGCACAGTATAGAGCGATTCGCGAGTGACGGAGTTTAGGCCCCACATGTTTTACTGGGTACCGCCCTATGCCTCTGTTCAGTCCACCACGCGACCGCCGTCTATACTATTGTGTCGTACAATGGCGTATATGTGCCAATCATTAAACGTATTACTCAAGGAGACAGAAAGGTCGAAAAAACTGTTATTGGCCACTCGATTCTGCTGCACTAGTATTGAATGGGTTCGTAGCGGCGGGATTTAAAACACAAAACAAGCATTGGATAAATAAGGAGAGTAAACGGAAACTGAGAGGGCAAATTAAAGTAAAATCGGAGAATTCAGCCATAGAGCTACATTGAGTGGACTTGTAGACCAGCTTGTTAGCTCGATAGGCGACCAGGCAATCTATAGCAGTAAGTGGCGGGAAAAAATCAACGTTTTTCGTCTATTCGTTCGAAGCGAGCCGTCGCGCGGACGAAACCAAGCAAACCATCGTTAGTAGACACACCTACCCAGAATCCGGGCTACGGACAAAAGCAGGCCAATTGCTACACGAAAGCCATTGCCCTAGCATTAGTCATAGATCTGCCAGCCAATAACTCTACGTGTTATTATCAGAGTTCTGCCGAGCCACTTGTGCTATTCACACTTTTCCATCTCTATGCAACGTCTCCATTATATTGCCCATAGGTAGTATTGCATATGTGTGATTTGGACTCAAACTAGCCATTCGAGAATTTTTGCCATCCATTTGCTGTGGATAGCTTCTTTGTTTTCTATTATGTTTCTTATTTTATCATCGTTGCCGTAGTTGCTTACGTTTTTATCGCAGCGCCAAGTAAGCGTTCTGGATAGACGATTCTGGCAACAACGATAAGCAGTCTAGAGCCATTAAATGTCCTTCGGGGCAATTTTTATCGAAGTAACCGTTAAGCGTACTGGATATGACACGTGTTTGTATAGATGTAATTCTTAGTGAGCAAAACGAAGACAGAATTTGATTGAGTCTCCACTAGGCGTAGACATAGACTTGTATACACGAATACAAATGGCTGAAAGAGAATTTGGAACTAAATGGGGCGGCGGAGTGATACGACGACGATAGCATCCGACCTTCCTTAATGCTTAGTGTAAATATAGTTGTATGTACCCATGTCGTTCGTACATGCATGTTCGAGCTACGATACTTGTATGTACATATGTGGCGACGTTTGTGGGGGGCTTCTGACACCGCTAGGCATCGAAGTTAAAACGACTTCAATTAGAATTAAAAACATTTAAGTTAATAATACTTGATGTATTTTCGTCAATAATTTTGTGCTGTACATATTGTAGTATATGGAGATGCTTATTAAAAATGAGTTCGAAATATCTGAAAAAAAAAAAGCATAGAAATAAGGGCATAATTAATTAACAATCGAAAATAGTATGTGTGTTTCTAATATATAAATAAATTGAATTTCATCGTTACTTAAAATGCTAACTGTGGAGGTTTTTCCGATTGAGCAGACTCAGAGTACCAGTCTTTGAAGCAGACACCTCGTTCGATAAGTCCGCAATCCAGTGACAATCATCTCTGTTGCACCCTTTCGTAGGGAAACATTGGTGTTCCCATCGGCGTCTCTCGAAGGGCTCGAACACAATTACTGCAAAAATAACCGTTCCTAATAGTCGACTGTTCTGCAGGCCGCCGTTCGTGTTTTTAAAATTGTTCACTTCATTTAAATAGCGAGGTCAGGGTCTGTTCCACAGTGACATCGAATCCGACCCAACAAAAGATCTATCTGGTCCAAGCTAACTAATTCGCCTTTATCAGTCGCAAAAAATTACGTCTGTCGACGAGTAGCCGCCATCACAGCCGATTGAAGATTGCATTCAACGTGAAACTGTAAATAATCGTCATTCTGTTAGCACGTTAGCTGAGGCTCATATGCTTCACTCAGCTTCATAGTAGGCGCCTCAGCTTTTTTTCTGTACTTGTCATCTAAACAACAAGTCGATTCACTGAAGACCAGAGTCTAGAAGCCGTCACGGTATCTAGGCTGTTACGAAATTCCCATAATAGATCTCCTCAAAAACCCGCCAATTTTCAAAGTCGCCATTATTTTCGGTTCCTTTACCTTTCAGACAGATCATTCGCAACACAGCGTTGCTTCTTCTGCTGATTCTAGTCGAAAGATACGCAAATTTGGTACTTTTCCCTCAGAAAAATACGTATATAAAAAGTACACGCAGATTCTCAACGGCTCCCAGTCGTATCTCTGCACTTCGTAGCAACATCGCATCGACCTTTTCTCTTTGGCAGATATGAACTTCAAACCTCTATTTTTGCGTTGTATTGTGAACTTAACTAATTTGTCTAGACAAGTTTATCGACTCACACTGGACACAGAAATGGAGACGCTGGTTCTTGACATTCTCAACTTGAACTTCGGAGTGATCCTGCGTATAATTTATTTCTGCTATTTCACCCTTTCCTTCAAGCGGAACTATGCGTAACTACACGTACTAGAGTTGAATTTTTGCTTAGTAGTCATGTCTGCGTGTGTGCCTTACCATAGCAGGATATGATAATTCGTCATCTTTTGCGACCCCTCTACAAAGCAGATTACACTTTGGCCTAAATTAGTTAAGGCTAATTAGAAAAAGGCTGATGAACAAAACCAAAGCTGCTATTACATTAGCTGTCACTATTCCTGCGAGAACTTAGGCAACTTATACAATGGAGTTCGGGATACGAATAGTCCATTCGTTGAATAAGCACCCAAGTGCAGAGAGCCGCAAGAATCGCTCGCTAACTACGAGCGCTCATAGGTCACGATAAAGGCATGCGTGTTCTGCTTACGCCCGCTTGCGACCTGCTGTTTCCAACCTAAATGAGTGAAACCGATTACAGTGTAACAATTGTATGCCAATAAATATATTTATTAAGGGATCCTTATCACAACTAAGTATATTAGAAAAAATTCGATTTTTTTTTCTTGAAGCAATATTAGTTTCTAATCTCTCGCACTATGCAGAAAGTGCATACAACTCAGATCTACCTTCTATACTTAATGTCATAATTTTTTTGGCGATAGATCAAAAGACAAAAATACACGGAAAAGAACAGATTTGTTTTATTAACAGACAACGCCAGAATCGTCTTCGACTGAGTTGCCCCTGATACACGTGGACGTTACAATAACATCAGTAGCAATGACGGGATTCAATGCTTAACACCAATTCAAACAAGCCCATTCAATTGATGCCACTCGTTTTTGGCCAATTATAAGAACGTGACAAAAAATAATAAAAACAAAAGGAGAATTTCTTACAAATGCTAGCAGCCGAATTTTCTGTACTGGCCAACTGGACCCTGTCGCTTGGGGTTCCCTCTCCCCCTCCTTCCTTGTTTGTCCCCTACCAACATCGCATACATCAGATAGCCTACGCCGTGTATGCGCGTCCAGGCCAGCAGAAAACTTCGAGGTGGTCGTAGGTGAACGGCCGGACAGCGGACCTACAAACCGACAAGCAGACAATCGCTGTGCAAATACTTGCAAAGCGGATGCAGCAGCGATGGTATCTGGCCAGCTTTCGGGACGATGCAAAAACGAAATTTCCCCTCGGTTTTGCCATCTCAACGCGTCGTGACCGTGTCTGCTACTGTAGACGCAGCAGGCGAATGACTGTTTTACATTTTAGGTGCTCGCGAGATAAAGGCAGCAAGACAAGGTGGAGTAGTAGGGCGTGTTGCCAGTAGGGGCCTGATGAAACAATGGCGGCCGGACGAGGATTCTTGGCGAAGCCTGGATGAGCCTTGTGATGAGGAAGGAAGAGCCTTCGCTGAGAATCGCCGGATCCATCGACGACAGTGAAAGTCTTATGGCCAGACACAGACTACATCAATAGCACGTGGAAATCTGCCGAGGGTACCAAACACTTTGCTACTTTGCTTGACAAACCTGAAAGTGATCTCTGGACAGCGTGAATAGGAGCACGAGAGTATCATTTCAGAAGAGACAATGGCGTCTTTTGGCAGTTTAAAGAAGGTTTTTTCTTTCCATTTACACCTGTAGGCACTGACGGGGCCTATCTTCTTTGGACTTTTCGGACACGGGGACGCTCATCTGTTCAGGCCTTTTCTCTTACAGTTATGGCAGTTTGTGGTCACTGTTGGGTGACAGGAAGTTCCAAGTATAGTATGTCGTACCTTATTGTGTATGCACTATCGAATGCAAGTTTTGAAATCGAGGTTAGGAAGAAACGTCATTAAAGCGTCTCATAATGAACACGTAACGTTTGAGAACGAACAGATAGTGGTAGTGATAATAATGATAGTACGAATACAGTCGTGTATGATCTATAAAAAAAAATATAATAATTCTTTATTGAAATGAAAAGCATTTTGTATCTGCTCCGGAACAACTATATTCATGCGTTTAGGTGGTTCACAGATACGTTGTTTATATATAACAAAAAATATAACCGCAACGTCTACTCTCGTTGTTGTATCTGCATCAAAAGTTATTTATATTAGGACGTATTATAAGTAAAAATATATTATAATCACCAACTGCGTATTAACTAATTATCTTCACGAACGAACCTTATTGTGATTGCTCGCGAACGTTCGTTACCATACATTTCGTTCGATCGCATTCTGTGCCTTCAGTTTCCTACTTTTCCTGCAGGAAAGGCCTACTGTCGCATCAACGGCTAACGCCGTTTACGTCATTGGCAGACTAACGTTAAAAAATTGAAATTAAAACTTGCAGCGTTTGTAATTTTTGCAAAAAACGTATACGTCCATTGAGCGCTACGCAGCTTATAACACCTAATTATAGAATTATGACACCAACAAAAAACAACAAACTATTTAGAAAAAAAAACTATTTCATGTGCTTCTCTATGCATATAGCTATTTGAGAAATATATCGTTTCACCGTCGTTTAATCAGTCCTGAAATTGCTCGACGGGATAGTACTTCCCGTATTCCTTGAGGTGCTCTCGTAGCTCGTCTCTTTGCACTTGAAGGTGTGCTGGGATTTCTTCATAGACATCAGTGAACATGAAGTCGACTGAAGGTTTTTTTACGCGCTCACCTTCCTGGAAGTTTGTCAAGATCTATAACATGCATTGAACCCAAATTTTAGGATTAGTAGCACGCGGCAGAGAAAATAAGCAATCTGAACGCTAAAAGCAAACAGCAGAGCATTTTTTAGATGTCCTTTATGCGATAGCCATGCGAATGTGGAACGTTATGGGTTATGAATAATTGCCATCCTAAGGAAAATCTGGGTAATGAAATCCTAGGAGGGGTGGCAACAGAGGGCATGTAACATTGTGATTTTTTTCACGCCAGGTACTCGATAAAATAGTACTACCATCGAAAATGAAGGCAAAATAATTTTTAACCCCTTTCTACACCGACTTACTAGCAAATCAATTAGTAAAATGATGATTAGGATAATGAAATTATTGCGAATCAGTATAATAACTAAGGTATGCGGCATATGGAATACTGTAAACGTTCACTTCACGAGGCATCAGAGAAGCTGATATACTTAATCTGGTGCCCTTTCATTACGTTTCAATACACACCGTATTCATTCAGTTCTTTCATCATACTATTTCATTAAATGACGAGAATCACAAATTAATAGTATATTAAAAAGACTCAGCGACCAAAAACGACCCTGGTACTGCCTATGGCTGTGTTTTAAATAAATATCTACTCTGTAATTATATTTATTTTCCTCGAACGATGATAACGTACTAAAAGTAGGGTCAGTACCTCAGCCGAAATAAATACAACGTTTGTGTCTGCGTTGAACAAAACAAAATGTTAAGCATTATTATTTAATAACAAATAGAGGAGGAAAATCTTTGAAGTCAGAATTCGTATGCTGTCCAATTCATCTGATGAACACGGTGATCTAACCTGGGGCAATTTAACTGCTCGTGGAGTCATTCTTGTCAGTATTACTACTGCCATTAGTAAGGCCACCAATGATCGTTTCAATGCAGCGGCATTTCAGTATCAAAGCACCATGGCAATAGTTACGTTGGCCAGCACTGCGCTCGACTGAAAAAGGATTCGTCGATGACTTCGATAGGTCTATTTGTGGGCGAAGTGGAATATGCTGGCCGTTCCGGAAGTTCTCGGAAAGGAAGCGGTTGCATCGTAGCGTCAGATCTAGTTGGCTCTTCGATGTCGCAATCTCCCGTGAACTTCATATGGGAAGAAAAGGGCTTTTAAGGGGATTTTTTCATTTACGAAGGGCCCTGACCCTCCGTCAGTTCACGGGTGCGACGAAGACGGCCATGGAAACGATAGGGTGCTGGCGTTTCTTTCTACGCGTAACCAAAATAAACTACTAGGGGCATATGAAAGCCTCTCCCGTCCTGTGGTCTCCGACCCCCGTTTGCTGTCACGGCTTTTCTTACGCTACAAGCACCATGACCAGAAGGAAGCACGGCGATAACCATAGCGCACTACCCGGGGCGCTCAGGATATCAATTCTCCTAAACCGGAAAAGGGCGTTAGGTTTTGTTAGAGTGCGACCGGGGTAACATCACGAGGGCCACTGCACTTGCCGGCCATGCAGGCCTACGCAGTCAGGCCTTGTTTGGTCTATCCCGGTTTGCAGTCTGCCTGCCCCCAAGACCACAGCAGCAGCAATAGTAATAACCACTAACGTTGCCGCAACTGCTCACCGCCACCGCGACCCAGCGGCGGGTGTCGAGCTGACGGAGGTCTCGAATGTGAGGTTTTTGAGTTAAGTTGGATGACCAAAGACGTTACTATCGTTGGTGCTACCGCTGAAAACGGAAGAACGATTCCGCAAGCCAACTCGATGATGCCTACAACCATAGTGAGGGTGGATGTGTGGCAAGACGAATAAAGTATGAAATATTTGAATGAAAACACGGACCCACTTCCACGGGACCGCCATAACGGGGCGGCAGGTAACGTCACACTGGCGACTTTGACGCCGACAAAGTGCAGCAGCAGGCACAGGATGACGTACGCCCCGTTCCATAACGACGACGAGGTGGATGAGTCGCGACCGGAAGTTGACGGGGAAACCACTTCCGGCTCGATTCAGTAGCGGTAGTGGCGTAGTAGTACCGCCACAGCGGATAGGGGAAGCGCTAGACGCGACAACGGTTGGTTGCTGATGACGCCGCTATTTGAAACTGGGCCAACGTATAAAGCACCGGAAGCCAAACATCTCGGTTGTGTAGGACTTTCGTCCACACGTGCGTGTCCATATGGACGAAGATCGTGAGCGAGGCGCATTACCACGTACTAAGAAAGCGAAGACCAATGCGAGAAAGCGTATAAAGCTAGCGTCAGGATGGACGACGAGAGAAAAGTCTGTCGAGAAACGAGACACATGAGGCGCAGCCGTGCTTACTGCGTACACAGATAGATAGACCCCGTAGAGGTACAGTGGTAACGCGTTTGCCAATTTAACGTGGGGACATTTAGTAAGCTGTGGTCTAGCTTCGTAACCGACTATAGACACACTTCAGTAAGGTAAAAGTACAAAAGGTAAAACCGGAATAAGCGTTTGGAGACCGGAATTGAACACGCCGTATCGTCAGTACGTGACGGCTGTAGCTGACGAGGAGTTCAGCACAAATGGTTAAGATGTCTCCATCCAAAGTAGCGCAAAATCAAAAATGGCTTTTTGAGCTTTTAAAAATTAAACTACATTGAGAATTCTTTGATTTGAAAACTTTCTGTGGATTTTTCAGAAGCTGCATGAAAGCTGGCAATGACGTAAACCGTCCATTTTGAGTAAAAAAGAACGTGCCTAATCTTGTTGACGCCTCGTCCAATGTGAACATGTATATATATATATATATATATATATATAAGAATATGTATAGGAATATAACTGATATTTGCTCAGATCCAGAAAAGGACGCACTACCTCTGCCATGACGAGTTCGCTGGCTTCTTACAGAAAGAACTGGCTTTTATTTGGTGCCAAAAGTAGCGGATGGATGCATTCGTGCCACCATAAACAGTTCGCCAGAATTATTCTAAATTTAGAGACCGCATAACGCCTATATAATATAATGAACTAATAAGGTTTTTTGTGTTTAGCTGACCTTCAGCCTGGAGTACCTTCGGTTTTCAGAGGTCTCTTAATCACTGCCGCAGAAGTTGTGAGGTATAAGCTCACGACCTCGTGGCCATGTTGGTTTCTGGCAGCGTTATTGGTATAAAACCGAAAAACGGTTCCAAAAGGGGTAAGAAACTCTTTGATTATTTAGACGATGCATCTATTCGGCATAATTTTTTAATAAAGCGTTTGGGTAGCACCTGATCTGATTTGCGCATGCAGGCTTTTCAATTCCGACAAGCCCATACAGGCCGATTTTAGCGGGAAGAGTCATATGACCGTACAACCATTATACATTCGAGTACTCCAATTTTATATAAATGCAATGCGTATTTCTGCTTTCCGAATCCCAGTGGGATACAATCTTTACAGGCGACGTTTGCAGGCCGAGTTATGCTTCGTTTTTCCACTGGCCTAGCAATCGCTGTCTAACAGAGTGCAAGTAGGACGCTAGTGTAGAAATGCCGAAGGCCAAGACAGACCAAGCCCACCAACGGCTTCACCGATTTCAGCGGGAGTCGTTCGGTTGTTGTTGTTGCCACCGCCACCATCACTGTGCCAGAAAAACCAACGCATTCAGCAATGAAAATGTAAATAAAGCGGTGCCATTTGATTTTATATTGGATATTTCTCTTGGTTGCCCTCTATGGTTTCTGTTCGCCTACGACGCCGTTCGGTTTCGCAACGCATTACATTGCATTGCCTACTAGCTGGCGCACACATTTTTTCCCTTTCAAACGATTCGTCGAAAAGATTTGCCCATGCCATCGTGGGCAAAGTCCGCGCATTGGCTCAATCCGCCTTGAGTCCCCTGAGCCGTCCCAATTCGTCCCTACTAGGTCGTAACAGTAGACTAGGAGCTAAGGAAGGCAGATTTCCAATGGGCCCGCGGATCTCCTCGTTCAGTTCTACTGGCATTGGCGTGATGACGATTGGACAACTCAACGATTCGTCAGCCGACAATAACAACCGTCGCCGTGCCGGTACCGAAGGTTGAAGACGATTTCGCTGACCGGTGGCTGGTTTGGACCTCTTTTCCGAGCGCCTTTCTGCTTAGGTCTCTTTGTGCACATTTTCCGAGCGCTGGTGGATCTGACATTGCAAAGGCGTACGGGAGATAATGGCTGGACCTGTTGCCAATGCAAAGCGTCGCCCAGAATCTCCTTTGGCGCTTCTGTGATTGCCGGCTGCATTTAAATGTAGAAAAGGTTCACAGATAATATTCCACTTGTTAAACAAACCTAGCAGCAAGCGCAAACTGAGTCGAAATACTTGCTGCGTGCGATAGAAAAGAAAGAAGATCAAATACAAAGTCAGGAGACATTGTAGGGCCATGGCAAAAAAATTCTTGACACGAAATTGTTTGATTGGATGGCTTTAATCTACTTGTGGACAACAACAACAACAACAACGACGACGACGACGACGGTGACGGTGACGACGGTGACGGTGACGGCCAATGGAGCACCTTGCTGCTACTACTGCATTTCGGTTATTGGGTTTCTGTCCCCCTTGCATTTTCTCTTTCGTACTCTCCACTTTTCTCGTCCCCTCTCTTCTATGTTCCTTCTTTCCTTCCTTTTCACTCTCACTCTAATATTTCACTGTTTCTCCACTCTTGTCCTACCTTGTCCCTAAGGCACGCCTAAGATTCACGCGGCAAGCTGGCGTCCTCCTTCCTTTATTTAGCAATCTCTAGTTCTGAGCGCAACGATACGGGTATGCGAGCGCTCGACCGTCCCAGAGCTTCGAAAAGGATCTCCTGCCTGCTCCTCCGTCGAACACGCCCGCTGCTTCTACTAGGGATATCATCACATTCAAATTTGCGCACCCTTTTCAAACCCCCACTTCTTTTGGGGGGTGCCAGTAGCTCACTCGTGCTCTGTCCGGCAGCGCTGACAGATTGCCCCTTACTTATCGGTCGCATGCCCGGCAAGCGTTCGTCTCCGCTGCTTTGAGGGTTCTTTTCCGCTGAACGAGGTCTTT